TGGACGAAAAAATGCGGACGTACAAAACACACACACACATTCATTTTTTCTGAGGTATGCCAAAATGTTCAGAAACCTTCAAAATGTGAAGATATGCAAAAATTTTCGTTTTCGTTTTTCAGCCCATTACTATAACTTACCCTACGGGAACTTAAAAATTGGAATCTAAAACTGCATTAAAAATAGAAATCGCAATAAAGAATCTGCTGGTGGCCTTAATTGATTTACTTACAATTAGTGATACTTAAGCATTTAACTACAGAAAATTTTTGTTAGAAATGTCTTACTATATGGTCACAGTATGTAACATTTGGAGAATAAAAAAATAACACTAAAAATTATTTCATCACCCCATCAATTGTTCAATTATTAAATTGAATGAAATTACTAATATAAGTATTCCCATTAATTGAATAAGTTTACTTTAATATTAAACTAAATAAGTCTAATTATATTGGATTATAACAAGGGTTGATGTTGTAGATCTGTGTGCTTGAAATTCTAACATGAATCTGGAAATTAAATAGTATAGTTTTTTGATAAATATATTTGAACAAATAGCAAATTTACTTTATTTATAATGATAAGTCTTAAAGATAATTGTACAAAAGATTCTGTATATCACGTAATGAGCCAACCAAAATGCGCAGATTCTAAAAAAGCAGCATGTGACATATCTGTTGATTTGTTGGCTGCAAATAATTTAATTATGAACTTGCCATTTGTTTGTGTAAAGTAGATATATGTTTGTTTACTAAAATAATAAGTTACAGAACGTAAAATAATATTAAAATTTTTTGGCACTCGAAGCATTAACACGTGGTAATTTCATAAAATATTTAATGAATCACTTCTCATAACAATAAGCGAAAACGTTAAAGCCTCCACGTGGTGGTAATTGCATGACAAATTATAATAGGAAAAATATTTCAAATCAAAATAAAAACAACACCTATTATCAAAAAGTGTTAGCGATAACTTGTAATAATATATTAGAATCTTATTACTCCAATAAGTTATTAGAGTATGTATGTAAATGTACAATGGATGTGAATATACATATGCAATAGTTACGCTATTGATTAGAATAAGCAATTGGAAATAAATTATTACCTATTGCAGAATAACTATATATAAATTATTAGGGGGCGTCCATTAATCACGTGACCAAGTTTTTAAGGATTTTTGGACCCCCCTCCCCCTTGGTGATTCATGATGATATTCAAAATTACCCCCCCTCCCCCAACCAAACATTACGTGTATTTTTAGCTATGTGAAAAAACTGTAAAATTTTGAATAAAGTAATTTATTTTTGAAAATGTTTGATTTTCTAAAAAAAAAAATTAGTTAAAAAATAAATCTCCTCCCTCCCTCACGTGATACTTCGTGATTTTTTGTAAAAATAAATCTCCCCCCTCCCTCAAAAAACCTCACGTGATTAATGGACGCCCCCTTAACTTCTCGTAGGGTAAGATATAGTAATAGGCAAAAAATCGAAAATGAAAATTTTTGCATATCTTCACCTTTCAGAGGTTCCTGAACATTTTAGCATACTTCAATCAGAAAAAATTGATGTGTGTGTGTGTTTTGTGTGTCCGCAATTTTTCGTCCACGTTTTCGGGCGCATGGATCAACCGATTTAAATGGTTTAAATAATATTCGATTCCTATTGATAGGTAGATGTGCTGATTAGTTTTTGTCAAAGGCAGGTCTAACCGTCACGGAGATACGGAGCAAAAAGTACAGAAAATATAGAGTTTTTGAGACAACGGAACATCCGATTTGAATGATCCAAAAGACATTCAATTTGTAATGATTGGGGGAAGTTGTGATTAGTTTTTGGCAAATGCAGGTCCAGCCGTTTCGAAGATACAGAGCTAAATGTACAAAACATGATAGATTTTGAAAGAACTAAGCATCTGATTTGAATGATTCAAAAAAGTTTCTGCTTGTTTTGACAAAATAATTGCTTTTAGAATAAAAAAAAATGTTTCAATTTTTTATTTTCAAAAAAAAATTTTTTTCAAAAAATAAATTTTTGTATATCGAAAATAATTCAAATTTTAATTTTAATTCTGGCTAAAGTTCTAAAGCTCACTTATATACTTTAAATAAATAACTTTAACTTTGTAATTCATATAATTCTTATAAATATTAGATAACGTTACAGTTTTCATAACAAACTATTTGGAAACATTTAATATTCCTCGAACATTTCGTTACGGTACGGGAAGTTCGAGCAATTGCCTTAAGGCACGATGCCATACACCACTAGTTATTGTATGAGAGCAATTTATTTAGAAAGAAATTATTTAGGACTTATTAGTAATAAGTTATTACAACTACAGCTCATTACTAATAAGTCTTAAGTAATTTCGTTCTAGATAAAATTGCTCATTAACCAAAAAAATTATACTAAAATTTGAAGATGAATTCGTTTGAAATTAAAAATTTATACAAAAATATGTGAATTATTATTTTGGAAAATGTGGAGAATATAATGAATACTTTCTAAATATACAAAAAAGATTAGATTAAAATATTATTTTAATTCAAACGTAGTTTTTTTGCTTGAATTTATTTATTAATTAAAAGATACCGTCATAGATAAAAGAAGTATACATATATGTATTGATACCGTGCATTCGCAATTATTATTATATTGCATCAATGTGTTTGTTAAAGAAGATAACTTTGATATGGTATGATATAATTAACATAAGAAAACAAATTATTACGCACGTATATATAATTGAATATAATTTCAATAACGTTTATTAAAAGTTGATCAAAGTCTATAATTCCTATTTTCGGTATAATAATAATAACAAAGTACAAGGTTTAGGATGGATTCAAATTATAAAGCCATGGTTGGCATTCAAATAAACACGGTATTCAGGATATGTAATTTACATTACGCAGGACATTTGCGTCATGGTCAGTTTAATTAACGTATATTTTACTCAATTATAGTATTAGTATAACGCTCTTAATAAAATTATACACTTTTTACAAATTTCAATAAATGGCAAAATTGTCATCACAATCAAATGCAAAAAATTACCAACATTGTGAATATTAGCATTTCTCTAATAATAAGTTCTATAAATTATGGTTTTACTATTCATAAAATACTAACATTTCCAATTATTAATAATTTTTTGAATGTGATTCTGATAAATTTGCCTACATTGATATTTGTGAAGTAAGCTTTCTACTGTTTGTATTGGATAATGTTTGAAACTTTGAAAAGGCATTTTTCTTTTACTTGTTGTATACACCGTGAGAGTAATGAAATTTGATTTATAAAATTTTTTTCAAAATTTGTGAATGAATTTAACAGTTAACTAATTATTCAATTGAACAATTGAACAATATCTCCTCTTGTCATTTCTCAGATAGGAAAACCCGTTTATTATATATTTACTATTGACTTCACACACAGAACTTCAATCTAAATTTGTCAGGTTCATTAGGTATATTTTATATAAATCTGCACCTACATTTCGACGGAAACAACTCTCCAATTGACCGATCGCGGTAGTTAGGCTATATAACTTTTTTTCGAAAATAGAGAAAATAACCAAAATCTAAGAGTGAAAAAATATTATTTGTATATTTTAACACTGTGTAATTTAACTTTACTATATGATAACATAAAAAACATCTATAATTTTCTATTGTTTCTTGAAATAAATTCGATAGATCCTTACGTTTCGAGTCTCGATCTGAGTCTTCTTTCAATGTTAACTTCCCGTAGGATAAGTTATAGTAATCGAAAAAAGTAGAAATGAAAATTTTATATATCTTTACATTTCAGAGATTCCTGAACATTTTGGCATATACCTTAGAAAAAATGGATGTATGTGTGTGTGTGCGTGCGGATACAAATTTTCGTCGACGATTTCGCGAACACAAATTAACCGATTTGAATAATTCAAAAAAACATTCGATTTCTACTTATAAAGAGCTGATTAGTTTTTGGAAAAGGCAGATCTAACCGTTGCAGAGACACGGGGCACAAAGTGCCAAAAATGGTATTTCAGTTTTTGAGATAACAAAGCGTGCGATTTAATTCAAAAAACATTTTACTTGTATTGAAGTGAACAACTGGTAAAATTTTTGTAAAGACAGGTCCAGCGTCTGCGGAGATACAATGAAAAAAAATGAAAAATAAGGCCATTAGGCGGTTAAAACCTAACATTAGATATATGTACATCGTATTATCAGATATTTTATAAACATTTACAAATTTTGGGTACATTTATATGGGTTCCGTACTACACGGCGCTCATGCGCATTAATATTTTGTCCCCAAATCAGCTAAGCAGAGCAATTGTTTAGAAAAAAATGTTCAAAATTTTCAAAATAAATCAAAATTCAAAAAAATCTAAATATAAAAAATTAAATTTTTCAAAGTTTTGCAGAGTTTTTTCAATAATTTAGTTATATTTCAGTACGGGCAGTTCCAGAATTTGCCTTAAGGCACGATGCCATGCACCACTAGTTCTTTTCCATTGATCATATTTTTCATGTTTGTGTCTTAACTTGTGTGATTTATTTCCACTGAGAAATAGTCAAATTGGGACTAGAAACGTATGGATCTATTAAATTTATTTTAAGAGTTAGTTACCGTTTTCTTTCTATTTTATTATTTGAATGGAAGCCTGTTAAGAAGTATTTTGTTTAATCAATATATATATATATATATATATATATATATAAATATATATATATATATATATATATATATATATAATTTGAAAATATGATAGAATCATAAATCTCAAATTTGTTATTTTTATGATTTTATACTAAATGAAAAATCACTTGAACTTTTTCCTGTTCAAGGAATAGAGTAAATAGAAATTTGGTGTATTGTGTAGGAACACAATAGGATTAAAAATTGTATCAATTATATAATTGAATCGAAGTCTTAATTGAAAGTACATAAATTCGATAACTGCGGATTTAAACGAAAATGAAAACAAAGTACTGTATTACATACCATTTAGTGTCCAAATATGTGATGGCAGCGAATGTGCGGCATATACTCTGCTAAGGGCACCAGCTTCATCCGCAGAGCTGTCGGTCTCGGGACTGGCAGAGACTTCAAAGGCCCCCGAAACTGACGGAATTGCAATCGTCTCGTGACTTGCTTGCAAATCAGGCACAGAGGATAAGGATCGCGCTCTTTGACGGTCGTTAGATGACACTTGAATCCCTGGTAGGGCCCTTAACAAACTAAAACCGGCTGAATTTGACACAACTTCACTGCTACTGCTCGCCGAAAATGTTCTCGTCCGGGGACTTTGTCCGCCATTTGCGGTACTAGCCTTCGCACCCATCACAAAACGATATTAATGTATTTTACACGAATTGTCACTAAGCACTTTAGGATTTTTTTGTGTCATCAATGTGTCTCAAGTCATAATATAATTAGTAGAATACCACCCGAAAAAACGGGCGACATTTTGTTAAAAGATTTTGCTGCACTATCTATACATATGATTTTCGTATTTATTATTGTTATACCGTACCCTATTTGGCGGAATGACTCTGCTATGAAATTTTGACAGCAGCAAGTGAAGTATGTCTCATGACTAACTCTTTCCTCTTTCTTGTTGGTTGAACTGACATTCACCTTGGACTATATAAACATAAATTTAAAAATTGAATAGACATGGCAAATTCAAAAACACTTTCAAACTTGCATAATTAAGAAATTTGTGAGTAGTTTAAAACTAATGTCATAGTCAAATAAATTTAATTATTTGTAGAAAAATTATAATTAGAAAATAAGGAACGTTTGACTATTAACGCACTTCTAAATTTATCACGGGAAGCTCATTCTTAGATTATTTCGATGACAATAATATCTAATAGGCGATTTCATGTTTTTTGAAAAATAGTATTGCTGACAGATTATGTAACGTTCGTGAATATATGGCTACATCATTCATATAGATAGACATTTATTGGTTACAGAGTTAGAGACATTTGTTCGGAGGTTACCTGTCACAACTTGCCACTTCAACAGATCCAGTTTCTTTAACAAGTCAATGGTACGCATGTGTGATTGGCAATGGCGTCTGCCACGGTAAATATCCAAAAATTATAATGAACTGACACGTCAATCTTTTATATATTTAAATAAATAATTTTTTACATATAAACAAAATAAGTAACAAATAAATAGAATAACAGTTTTAACATATGTACTCTTATATTCAACGTGTAATATTTTATAATCGGCTCAACTATGCAAAAAGAAGTAAATTGACGTGCACTTGTCAAAATGACATTTGACATTAGCTTTAAAGAATATTAAAAAAATCATTATTTTATTGTATTTTAGGTACCTCTTTTAGATGACGACACAATACCATTTGGAGAAGAAGATGAAGTCAATGCTAGGAATTCAGGAAAATTAACGTATGATAAAAGTACTTTAATAGGTTAACTAGTCTTCCAAATATTTGATATCATCTGTTTGCAGGCATCCTTATGTGACTTTCTTCCACCTGTTTTTTCGCTGTTCTTCTATAGTAGTGTACATGCTCTGCGGATGGTTTAGTGACAGTTTTATTACAAGTTTTGTTTGTGTTGTCCTGTTACTGTCTGCTGATTTTTGGACAGTTAAAAATATCACAGGACGGTTACTAGTGGGTTTGAGATGGTGGAATTACGTGGACGACGAAGGTGTATCGCATTGGGTGTATGAAGCTCGAAAGGTTGTTAAGTATTCATTTAGTCATACACTACCTAACCAAATATATTTTGAACTACTAGACCAAATATATTATAACAAAATATTAAAGTTCTATGAATCCATATATTAATAACCTCTTATGTTTCTAATAATTTCAACATTCTATTATTATACCCTTTTTCAGGGAATGATTCAGGGTCGAGTGAATCAGAGGGAATCCAAAATATTTTGGCTAGCACTTGTACTGTGTCCTGTTGTGTGGGCAGTATTTTTTATAATCGCACTTTTTGGTTTTAAATTCAAATGGCTGGTAAATATGTTATAATATTGAAGAATTTACATTTTTTCTGTTTGATGTTGATTTCTATAGAATATAATAATTTAAATGAATATTACTTTTCCAATACAGAAATATGATTCTATTAATAATATTTAAAATGTTTTTAAACTAAACTTTATATAAAAATATTTAATCAGAAGATAGCTTACAACTCTGACTTGTTTGAAAGTTTAAGTTCCTGCATGTCTAGCCATAATTAATGTTTCAGTTATGAATTTCTGTATTTCAGAACATAAAACGTCAACAATTACAAATTGTTTATTTGAATAATATTTCAATTGCTTTCTTTTTTAGCTTTTAGTTCTAATTGCACTTGCTTTAAATGGAGCAAATTTGCATGGCTACATCAAATGTAATTTTGGAGCAAGTAAAGACTTGGGATCAGTTACGACAGAATTCTTCAAAGCAAAATTACTTCAAAATGCTGTTTCATTTATGAATAAACCAGCACAGCCTAGTACTGCACAGCCGACTGGAATAGTATAGTTTAGTCAATTTCATATAAGATACACGTGATCTATGTTTTATATTTTAGAATTATATTTATGCTATTTTTAGGATTTATTATAATATTAATTAATACTTGTACATATAAATATAATTATAATGAATGTTTAAGAATTTGTAAAATATTTGAATATTAGATGATTATGCCATTTATTTATATGAACCAAAATTTGCATTTATTGCGTGCTATTCCAAATACCTTTAGTATTGTCATAATAAAATATAAAATATAATACATAATTTTCTGGATTTTTTATTGACATATCCTGGGTAATATTTAATTAACTTTAAAAATCCGATTTGCTAATTTTATGTTTTTTCAATGTTTCAAGCCATTCTGAATCAAATTGGACCAAATTTGAAAAAAATATGTGTGTGTGTATGTGCTTCTATGTGAGCCGATTATCGACCTATCGCGGCTGAACCGATTTAAAAAATTTAAAAGCCTTTCGATGTAACTTGATAAGGATTAATAACGGACTAACGTTTATCAGTTTTGTGCGCCGATCGGCCGTGCAGTTTCTTTGTAATTAGTGTGAATTTTTCGTCAACGTTTCAGCCCCCAAACTTTGAACTGATTTTAAAAATCCAAAAGCTTCAAGTTTGGGAGTAGCGTAATTGATTCAAATCAAAATCGGCAGAGCCGTTTCTTCGTAAATAAAGTTATTTTTTTTTATGAAACTTTATATGCCGATAGATATCGCAATATGAAACAACATATTGAAATATTATAGGTCTACGATAAGCGATTGAATTATAAAAAAAACATCAAATTTTAGAATTTCGCCGCACGTTGAAGCGATTCTAATAGAATCTATGTCGAAGCATATGCACCGATGCATCAGTGATGCGTCATAGGTAGCTATTGATTACAGTGAACGTACACACTTAAATAAAATACATTTTAAACATTACCTTTAAACAAATTAATTTAATTTATACAATTGCAGGATACATATTATAAAGTTTGTTTGAATATAAGACATTAATTGGAAATCGCATTGATTAATTTTATTCTTCAAATAAATAGTTGAACTGATTTTCCTGAATATACCCGAATTTCAATTCTTATTGATTAAGTTATTGTTTGATAATAATAATATATGTATACGTATCGGGTAGCCCATGCAACTAGTAGTATATTTAACTTCCCGTAGGGTAAGTTAAGTAATCGCAAAAAATTCGAAAATAAAATTTTTATATATCTTTACGTTTCAAAGGTTTCTGAATATTTTGGCATACTTTAGAAAAAAGGATGTATGTCTGTATGTGTCAGTGAAATGTTTTTTGAATTATTAAAATAGGACGCTCCGTTCTCTTAAAAACTGAGTTACCATTTTTGGCACTTTTTGCCCCGTATCGTCGGAACGGCTAGACCTGCCTTCGCCAAAAACTATAAACATTTTTCATTTTCGATTTTTTTGTGATTACTATAACTTACCCTACGGGAAGTTAAAAAACATTCGATTCATATTAATATGGAGACGTGCTGATAAGATTTTGACGAAGGCAGGTCTAGCCGTTCCGAAGATACGGGGCAAAAAGTGCCAAAAACGGTAACTCAGTTTTTAAGAGAACGGAGCGTCCGATTTTAATAATTTAAAAAACATTTTACTTGTATTGACAAGATGAAGAACTGATTAAATTTTTGGGAAGGCAGGTACAGCGATTTTGGACTCTCAATAAAAATAAGTTAAAAAAATGCCATTTGGCGGTTAAAAATGTTTATTGGACTTATGCATATCAAATTATCAGATATTTTATAGAGATTTTTATAATGTGTACTCATTTACACGTGCGGTACGGGAAGTTCCAGCAATTTGCCTTAAGACAGTATGCCATGCACCCTAGTTAATACTTCAAGTTATAAATATTTTTTAGTTACAAGTATTTTTAAAAGTATTGTAAATTGAAAAAACAATATACTTTTCAAACAACGCAAATAAAAATAACTGCAAAACAAAATAAGAAAAAAATACAAATAATTTTATTTGAAATAGCAAAAAATCAAAGTAAAAAAAATTGCTCCAGGTGAGGCTCGAACTCACAACCCCGGCATCGCTCACGACTACTGTCTTATAAGTACCGTGCGCTAACCAATTGCGCCACTGGAGCTATGTGTGAGAGTGACAATAAGCCGGTTATAAGTGAAAATTTTTATAAATAGTATTTATATTCAATTTGTGACCGTTTTTTATTCAATAATTAATGAAATAAATGAATGATTATAAAAAAAATAATTAGGGTTAAATAATCGCAAATCGTACTCGTTCACATGAAAACCACAACAAACATGGCCGTGTCTTGATGTGTTGTCAAAGTTCTGTCAAAATAGTTGTCAAAGTGCACGGTTAGCAATATTCAATGCAAAAATAATACGTTTCTCATTATTATACTCTTTATTATAGATATAAATCATGTAAATATATTTGATGTGACGTTTAATGTAAAATGTTAATGGGAGGTGAATACTAAGGTTTTTCATCACAAAATTTATAACGAGGTTAATTACATATTATGAAATTAGTTAATTTAAATAGTTATGTTTAATATGCATGATTTGCATATGTAATACTTAAATTTATGAACAATGTCAAATTATTTAATTATTTGTGGTTAACTGAAGGAGTGATATATTATCTGATTGCCCAAATGTTTTACATTCCTGCTTTTATCATTTCTGATATAAACAAACAAATGTCATTTATATATAATGAGTTGGTTTGATACAACCGGCATTGCGAATCTCGCAAAATCAGCTTTGAAAGAAGCACAAAAAACTATTGACAAAGCATTAGATATTAAAGAAGATGATGACATAGACAGCAACTTGGAGTCTGAAGAATCTCAAAACAAGATGAGTGAGACCATTATGCACAAAGCCCGTCTCAGCTACAAAGTCCATCATCTGGTATTTCTACAAGTATTTGGGCTCATTCACTGGATCGTTTTTTTGATCCTAAAGAAACAAAAATTTAACCACAGATTTAGGTGATGATAGACATGGGTGTCT